AAGATAAATGCTTTGTTGTCATTGTGTTGTTACATTGGAATCGACAGAGTTTATAAACCTTAATTTTCTATACACAAGTATTTGTCCTACAAGAACAATATTTAGTTCAAGGATAATCCAACAAGAGCAGTATCTATCACACTACACCAAAAAAGATAAAAACTTCTCAATTACTTGGCTTTGGAATAAAGATTGAATATAGTTGTCGCCTTTCCTGACAGACATACTACTATCATTCCCCAGACAGAAATATATGCGATCAATACAACTATTTCTGCCAGAACATATACAAGCATTACATAATAATATATGCATAAGATATTAGATATACATTAATTATACCAACTAAAGTATGGCCTTTTATTATTTAGAACGCATCTAAAAGGATAGTCCTCTAGACCAAAGTAGAAAATGTCTAAAGAAATCAAATACCATCGTAGCAAAGTTTCAGATACACGAAACCTAGATAACGGAGAAATAATAGATAGAAGGTACTGCTCGACCAAGGGGTAGCTCCAGCAGGGCACAACATCCAAGTGTGTATCACACACGCACATGTGTGTGTCATGCTCTCACACATACACATACAGGCAGCCTTGGCCCTTGAATGAGGACACATCAATCATAAGTTAAACTAAAAGGAAAAACCGCTAGAAATGAATATGAAAAATATACATTTGGATTCAATTGTTTTTTTAAAACAACATATTTTTTCTTTAAACTTCATTTAATGATGAAGCTTAATATCTTTGTGTGGCATACGGTCACGATGTTTTTTATGATCCTCATATTATGCTTGAATTTAAAATGAGTTTAGCACTATCTGCTACTCCTCCAACCAGTAAAGAGACAAAAAAAACCTAACCTTTGATGGTCCAGCTGTGTGAAGAATATTACATGCTTCCAAGCCATCTTCCTCGGAAGTAATCCTGCAGGTAAGAACTTTATTTCCATAAGGTAACTGAAATGATATTAAAATGAGCTTCAAGTTACAGATATACATATGAAAACACGTTAATGCATGGATAATATTGAAGAGAAATTAGCATAGCAGAAAAACTAACTGCTCAATAGAATAAGTGTCTGATGGTTGGATCCTTAACAGACCAAGCAAGGTGAAAGGATGAGAAACTGCTGCCAACAAAATGTCGTTCTTAGCAGCATGCCTTTGACATGCATATCACTGGTGCTAGATTTATAAATCATGTTGATAATGATAAAGTTTGGTGGAGAAGTAATTTACTTGCATCCCACTGCATAAGATGCATACGTGTTTTAAGGACTTCTCAAAGCATTATTGAAGTCGAATACATGTTTCTTGAATTTGACTCTTGCAGAACCCAGATTCCTATACTTAAAAATCAAACCTAATGTGTATCACATCCTCCTCAACTCCAGATAAGTGGAATACCACACTTCCATTCCCGTCCCATCAATAGGAACGAACCGCATTCCATGCAACTATGGTACAAGTATTAGCCCCCAAGCAATGTGGCACTGAAGCAATACAAAAGAACTCCCTCTCGTAACAAAAGAATTCTCGTTCATAATAATATTCAAGTAGTTCCTATGACACCACCACCAGCAACCAAATCATGAAAAAATTGGTATACATGAATATCATTACAGGAAACCACTACACTTTCCATACAAACCGACACATAGGCCCCGAGTTTGTCATCTTTTGTAACGCCCCTGATTTTCACACTGGCTGCAGTCCAGGGTGAACCTCAGAGATGTTAGGACCTACTATGCACCCTCCTCTGTGCATAAGCAAGCTTAGCATGCCACTGTTGCTATTACTCTAGTAGATGCCAAACAACAATAGGGATACACCCAAAGGCTAACCAAACGGTCTTAATATCATGGCAAATCTCTAAAGTGAGGGTATACAACAGGTATATAATGATTTATAATATTCTTAAGCTGAAATTTAGGCACAACACAGTTCGGAATTGAAAAGTGGCAATATATCATATATGTGAGAAGTTCTAAACAAAAACAGAAATCTAACAGACTCTATACAAATATCCAAGTACAACTGATGTCTAACACTGTATCAAAATATACATATCCATAGGAGGCTCTCTGCCTCCAAAAAAGTACAACTTAATTAGCTTAATTAATCTATTAGTCTATCTTGATTACATATAAATCCCACCTTTATAGTTCAATTAGTCAAAATATAAGTATTTGATCATGAATCCAACTCAAGAACACAACCAAACACAACATATTAAAAGAGAGTGAGAATTGGAGGAGATGAACTTGCATTGAGAGGGATTTGATCTCCGAAAATCAAGAATTAGTGGATTGACCTTCACAAGAGTTGTAGATCTGCTCGACTTCAATCTTTTCCGTTCACGAAGTTTTCTCAAATTCCTCCGAAAAATTTCGACCCACCATGGTCATGGGTTCACAAGAGCTTGAGAGGAGGAAGAAGATGGTTAGAGAGGAGAGAGAATGGTGATGACAAAATGATCCTCTCTCTTGCACTCTCATCCTCTTAAAAGGAAATCAAGGGTCTAGATCTAATCTCCATCACCCGAACCCTCATCCAAAGGCTCATGGCAAAAGTTGACCAAGTCAACTCTCCATAATAGATATCAACTTAAGTCAAAGCAGATAAACACAGTTATATATTCGAGTATTTTACCAGCTCGTAGTTCAGCTGATTTTCTCTGTTACCAGAATAAATTATCAATTTACCCTCAGCGCGATCTCGACGTTCTGAGAACGATGGCGCTGATCGCGCGTCCATCCGAGTTACAGATAAAATATTAAAAATAAAAAACTATAGGTTTCGAGTTGTCTCAACGACACCGAGACCAAAACTGCAAACGAAGTCCAAATTGAACCAAACTGGGCTTGTAGCACAAAAACCACATTCTAAAATCAATGACGCCATCCAGAGGACCATCTGATCACCAGAAACAGCTCAAATTGCTGTATGACGGCAGACTCGCAATACCGTAACCCGAGCTGCAAACAAACTCCAAATAAATTCTAACTGATTCCATTCGTCACAGAACGGTAAGCACACATCATAAAACTCATAAAAAGGTTAATTAAATTATCAAATAAATTTACAAAAATTATGGGGTTTTACATTAAGCCTGTCCGGATCTTGGATCGCATCGGAGCAGTCTCCTACCGGACTCGAGCCTTGCTAGCATCGATGTCGGGATTCCTCATGCTTCCATGTCTCTAAGCTGAGGAAGCACCTGAGAGGCGAAGATCAGCAGAGGACTTTTGATGCTTCAGAGCTCCAGTTTCAACCAGATCTCACATGTGTGGAGACCCAGTCCAGATCCTTGCTAAGAGGACAAGAAGCTTCGCAACAATGTGATTCCACTGGTTAAAATCCAGTGGAACAGGAGAAGAGCTGAAGAGGCTTCTTGGGAGCGTGAAGAGGATATACGTCGCGACTACCCACACTTATTTAATTCAGGTATACTACAAGCTTTCATTTGATAAAATCTTTTTGGTGTTTTTAGATTTTTTTCGGTTTTTCGGTTTTTGCATCGTATATTATGACATTATGGATGGTAATACAGACACTTATCTTCTAAACACGTGAACAATGGTATATACATGGGGGGTTCTTTGTTTGGATTTATTTGCCCGACGTACTAGTTTCACTTGCTTAGGAGTGTAGTGTACGTACTTATCGTCTAAAATATTGTTTTATCCATATCTGGGGGTTAATGGTACGAGAGGAGTACACAAGCACCGTACTTTTCTCTTATTATTAACTTCTAAGATTAAACTTTTGAATTTTGAGGACGAAATTCTTTTTAAGGAGGGGAGGATGTAAAACCCCAGAATTTTTATAAATTTATTTGATAACTTAGTTAAGCTTTTATGGGTTTTATGATGCGTGCTTATCATTCTGTGATGAATGGAATCAGTTAGAATTTATTTGGAGTTTGTTTGCAGCTCAGGTTACGATATCACGAGTCTGCCGTCGTACAACAGTTTGAGCTGTTTCTGGTGATCGGATAGGTCCTTAGATGGCGCCCTCGATCTTAGAATGTGGTTTTTGTGCTACAAGCCCAGTTTGGTTCAATTTGAACTTCGTTTGCAGTTTCGATCTCGGTGTCGCGAGACAGCTCGAAACGTGTAGTTTTCCATTTTTAATATTTTATCTGTAACTCTGATGGACGCGCGATCAGCGCCATCGTTCTCAGAACGTCAAGACCGTACCAGGGGTAAATTGACGATTTATTCTGACAACAGAGAAAATCAACTGAACTACGAGCCGATAAAAATACTCTGATATATAACTGTGTTTATCTGCTTTGACTTAAGTTGATATCTATTATGGAGAGTTGACTTGGTCAACTTTTGCCATGAGCCTTTGGATGAGGGTTCGGGTGATGGAGATTAGATCTAGACCCTTGATTTCCTTTTAAGAGGATGAGAGTGTAAGAGAGAGAGGATCATTTTGTCATGACCATTCTCTCTCTTCTCTAACCATCTTCTTCCTCCTCTCAAGCTCTCGTGAACCCATGGTCATGGTGGGTCAAAAAATTTTCGGAGGAATTTGAGAAAACTTCGTGAACGAAAAAGATTAACATCGAGCGGATCTACAACTCTTGTGAAGGCCAACCCGCTAATTCTCGATTTTCGGAGATCGAATCCCTCTCAATGCAACTTCATCTCCTCCAATTCTCACCCTCTTTTAATATGTTGTGTTTGGTAATGTTCTTGAGTTGGATTCATGATTAAATACTTATATTTTGACTAATTGAACTATAAAAGTGGGATTTTTATATAATCAAGATAGACTAATAGATTAATTAAGCTAATTAAGTTGTACCTTTTTGGAAGCAGAGAACCTCCTATGGATATGTATATTTTGATACAGTGTTAGACATCAGTGGTACTTGGATATCTGTATAGTCTGTTAGATTTCTGTTCTTGTTTAGAACTTCTCACATATATGATATATGTTCACTTTTCAATTCTGAACTGTGTTGTGCCTAAATTTCAGCTTGAGAATATTATAAATCATTATATACCTGTTGTATACCCTCACTTCAGAGATTTGACATGATATTAAGACCGTTTGGTTAGCCTTTGGGTGTATCCCTATTGTTGTTTGGCATCTACTAGAGTAATAGCAACAGTGGCATGCTAAGCTTGCTTATGCACATAGGAGGGTGTATAGTAGGTCCTAACATCTTGGGGTTCACCCTAGACTGCAGCTAGTGTGAAAATCAGGGGTGTTACACCTTTGGTAGTCTAAGAGTGACATTTGTCACGTTTCACATACAAAATGAGCTGGAAAATATGGACAGAAGCAAATAAAAAAATATGATAGTTTTCCTTTGGTGAAAACAGGATACAATAATTGTTAGTACAACTCAAAGGGGATGGCCTTTAAAAGTAAATGGATGAAAGGGTTTATATTGTTGGCCCCAAAAAGTTCAATAAGGGTTTGCAAGAATGAGCTAAAAGTCAAATGCAAAAGATGGACATAAAACAAATGCAACAGTAAGAATTCGTTTGCAAGATTACAATGCCTTTATCAACATAATTTATTAAATAACCGGCAAGTCTGGCATTTAGCTACTGCAGTATTGCCTAAAAAACAATAGAGGCCTAGTTATGCAACTGTATGAATATAGAGTTGTACATGGCATTACTATGTCACAGGCTTGTGGTACCTGTGCTCAGGCCTCCATATCTGACGTATAAAGAAGGATATGGAAGCAATAAAATTTCAATAAACATATGTAAAAGTAAGTTTGATCATATGAGAAGTACCTCAATCCTGTCAACTGTTCAACTTCAAATTGGTTAGGGGTCAGCATGGAAGCCACTGGAACCACCTAAACATATTACATTTGTAAATATTATGAAACCTGAGATATGCAAAAACAGGCTGAGATGGATATAATAATAAAAGGACAATCTCATGCATGTCCAATAATGCTTGTGTGTCAGATTAGCATAGTAATTGTTGAAAGCAAAAGCAAGACCAAGAGGTTATGCCAAAACATGCAGAAAAACAACTTGTATATCATTTTCTGAGGGAAGCATGTGGACCCTAACACAAGGATCAAGGCAATATGAACTAGTTGACAGTTAATCTGTAAAATTTTACCAATCCAGATTTGGAATCAGACCTTTATTCTAAAAAAGTCAGACAGAACAATTATTAGACATCCAAATTTTGATGATAAAGACAACTAAGCATGCAACCTCATATGCTGCCATGTGTATGACAATAAATTTTAAAATTTATACAAGCTGATGCTTGTTTGGAATTGCACAGAAGATGAAGCATCAGCGATGACTTGATATGGAAAAAGAATACAAAGTACGCTAGTACAGAGCAAAATTATTTCATGGGAACTCATAATCAGAATGACAATAAGATATTAAAAAACAGGAACAATTATGAAGCCTGGTTCAGTGGGAAACGGATGGGATTTGAAGGATTGGACATGGAAGGTCTCACTCAAAACCTGTTAAGCCTTGGTCTAAAGAATAGCAGGGTAATTTCTAATGGCACAGATCAAAATAGTATCAAAATTCTATGATCTTGTTTGAAAGAATAGCACAGAAGATGAGGCATCAACGATGACTTGATGTGGAAAAGAATACAAAGCACAGAGCAAAATTTACATGGAAACTCATCAGAATGACAATTAGACAGATTTAAACAACAGGAATAGTCATGAAGCCTGGTACAATAGTAAAGGGGTGGGATTGGACATGAAGTTTCACTAAAGTCCTGCAAAAGCCTTTGTTAAAAGAGCAGCAGGTTAATTCCTTGTGATACAAGAACAAACTTGTTAGCATCAAATTTTAAGGTTAAGGAAAAGGATATAGCTTCCATGGTCAGCTTCTTTTGTATATCATATAAAAATATGAAAATAGAAAAGCCAAACCCTGGAAGATAGTTTGCACCTTTTTCTAGGACATGTTGACGAAACAGGAGTTGGAGAACTTGTTTTTGGTTCACAAAGGTGTACGAAAAAGATCATTGATGAAGCTCTATGCATAGAGTTCAAAAGCTAAACTAAAATTTTGCATCATACACAGCTTAGATAGAGTATTTAAACCTCTTAAACCTCCAGAGCTGTTACAAATTAAGTCTGGTTCAATTCTTATGGTCAGGTAACATGTCCCGGGTAGTTGGTCCATCAATAAGTCTTAGATTTGTGCACTACAAGGTTAAGTAAAAGTTTTATGAGCGACAGTAGAGTGAAGACCAATAATTAAGTAGTGAATGCAGGAAAAATATATCCAGCGGCGGGGTTGTTGACTACATCATTCCCACTTCCATAATAAAGTGGGACAAGCATTTTATCTCTTTGGAACTCTCATTATGTGGCTTTGGGTTCTTTGACATGCACAAAATATATAATTGGAAACATTGTGAGTCTGTGACAATAATTTCATATGTAAGAACGGCTTAAGGAGTGAACATGAGACAACTATACAAGCATAAGCAGCTAAAGGAAAAAGCATAAAAAAAGTCGCCAAGCATTATAGAAGAATGTCAGTCATATTCAAATGACAAAAGCCAAGCGGCTGACAATACCTTCTCACGATAAACAGATACTAATTCCATAGGCACATAGAGCTTTCCCTCATCACCCATGACAGGATCGCAAACTGGATAAAAGAAACTTAATTATGATCACAAACTATCTAAAAGAAACTTAATTCCTAACAAGAAATCAGATTCCCCTGAGAAGTTAGTTTAGAGAAGCACAGGAGTTCAAAAAAATTTCTTTAATGACAGGAAAAATGTATAAATTTCTTTAGGAAAATCCTCTTAAATGACAAATTCTTTAGTCAAGTAGATTCAAAACATAGCCATTCTGTCCAGCATATACTTCTTAAACAATTGCACATAGATTAGAGAATGTAAAAGGTGCAGAGCCTCTTATATTTTTTAGAAGGAAAACAGTTAAAAGCCTGAAAGATAAGAAATAAAATGCTAATAGCATTAATAATCAAGAATAAAAATAGCCCTGGCTAAAGATCACAATGAAAATAAATGCCATAATTCCAAACCTTATTTGAGAAGCATCATAAAGGAACAGGTGGAAATTTAATTTGGACGAAATGTATATATACATCCTATCAGATGAAAAACTGGTAGTCAAGAATTTGTCAAAGCAAGGAACATGACAACAAGATGCAAGTACAGCTGCAAATAGAGAATGGTCATTCGAGGAGCCTACTGAATTGCATCCATTAACTGCGGCTCTAAGCAAATGGTTGTCAAAAGAGTAAGAGTAATATGTTATTAAGTAGAGCAAACGTTATATACTTTTTTGGCTAAAAGAACTAGGCAATAGCAAAATGACATGCATCTGTGAAAAAAAGGAGTCAAGTATATTTACCATATATAAGCCCAGGATTAATTGAGCGTAATTTCTCAACGACTTCTAATACCGTTTTTAAAAATGAAACTGAACCAATGTAACCTGCACAATGCCAATAAGAGACAAAGTCATTCCACAAATACAACAAAAAAGAGAAGGATGGCACAACAGAAGAACAGTGGCAATCAAAATTTTTGAAATGGATGGGTGATGTAATTATAGGAAGTGATTCAAGTGAATGAAGTGAACATATAATAGGCAGAAAATATCATTAATATCTATTACCAAAGCAGAAGAATGATGGAGCTCGATTTTCCATGTGTGTGTGTGTGATCAAGCCTCAGCCCAGCTGTAAAACCTTGTTGAAAGTGGGTCTCACCTTAATTCTGCCAACACCCCAGGTTAGTGGTGAGGATTCAATCCAGGGACCCGGTCTCTAGGTTTCACAGGAAATTATCTTGTATTAAAGAAACATAAGACAAGCAAGTGACATATGTTGATCAAGGTTTAAAATTCACTTCGGTTTTAACGTAGACTTCAACTTTCACTTTGGAGTCTAGACCAATATCAACACTATTGACTCATTTTGAGCTTGGTCATCTTAAAACTGGGAGAGAGATGCAGAAAATCTATCTGTTATTAACTACGGAGATAGCACCAGTTGTTTTCCTATCTTTTAGGCTTTTTAAGCTAGTTGATTTCTCAGCTAATTAGGATGTGTTACAATAGCTATTTTCATCTTTGATCATTGAAAAAAAATCTTAAGAGCTGAAACACTAAAACTTATAAGGAACAGCCGCATGAGATCTTTGTCGAATTAAGAATGAGATCTTCCTTATCGTTTTTTCCTTCTTTTTGTCTGATTTCGTATCTCAGATGAGAACGAGCAAATGCCTTGCAAATCTAAATCTATCCTGTATAAATAGCTCAAGCTCACATTATCTGGTAATCAAGTGCTTCTAGACCATGTCCCTAGTTTGCCCAACATTTGGGAGGAAGGAGTTATATCATAGTCCCAAAAATAAAATAAACTTTCACCTCCCAGAACTAAAAAAAAAACTTAAAGGCAAGTCAACGATCTCCATCTAAATATCTGCAATCCCACGGCTCCACTCTGCTTGATTTCCTTCAAGGCTTCCATAAACATTAGAATCAAATCTTTCCACCATTTTACAACTGGATGAACATGATTGTATTTTACACATTTATTTTTCACTTTTATGTATAATGGCACAAATTACGAATTATGATTACTAGTTAAAGAAAGGGAGCCATGGTAACGTACTAAGAATTTTTTGGTATTAACAAGATTTGAAATGAAATTTCCTAACAAAATGAAGGAGTGTAACATCAATTTAAACATGGATGTAAGTGCATTTGAATCTCGAGTCTACTGGCATCACGCATCTGAGGATAGCTTTTGTCAAGAGGGGAGGGGAGGAGTTAGGAAGGTTATAATGCTAGCTACTCTAAATTGTGTTTGTTTACACTTTTTAGTTAGTGAGGGAAGGGGAAGGGAGGGCTAAAAAGAAGCAAATTTTCTCACTTGCTTAACCCTCCTAAAGTGGACGGATTGGGAGGGGAAGTATTGAGATTTAAGTGATATTTTCTTAAAATTTCCAAGATTATTCCTAGAGTTGAGTAATATTTGTCATGTAGTTTCCTCCCTTCCTATTCTCTACTCTAAACAAACACAAACCACAATGCATCCCACCCTTCCCGTAGTTTTCTATCCAAACACTATTAGTTTAATCGCACTCCCTCTCTTTCCACTCCCTCCCTTTAAGATTACTACAATGATTCTTCTCCTCTACCCTATTTTGTATCGAAACCCCCCGTGAGGGTGCATGTGAAAGCCTAAATTAATGTGGTTCTTCAAGAAAATTTGGTAGTGATGAGAAAGAAAGCTGGTTAGATGCAAAATAATTAAGAGATATACTTGAGAGAAAAAGAAACATCCATGACAATTCAAACACACGAGCTCCCCCATCGCAATAGTCGATTCTTCTCACCAACAAGATTATCGACTTGAGACTGATGATGAATTCAGCTCAAGGTTAGAGGGAAGCCACAATGAATTAAATTGAGGTATGAAGAAATGTTTAGGTCCCAAAATATACACTCCACTTGTTAGCTGCAAACTGTTGTTCGCTCGAGTTATAAATAGCAAGTAAAAAGGTATTAATGCTCTACAGAGTCACATGATTGCTATATTAGCTATGGTGTCCAGGCTTCAGATTAAAGATTGGTCATAAGATATCATATCTTAAAATGGGATAGTTGAGAATTGAAGTGTAAAAATAAAGCAACAGTGTGTGGCTTATTCCATAAGGATTTACTGTTCATATTAAGCAAGATAAATCAAATAATGTTTTACGTTCAAGTATAAGCTGTTTAAAGAAGATTCATCATCAAAAAATTCACGAGGGAGACATCGATACAGGGATTTCATTAGAAATAAAAATCCTACACCATAAATAGAAGTCTTCAAGTGATATGAGAAAAATTATAGTTCACCTGTTAACAAATGTGTGTAGAATAATAAATCATTTGCCGCAAGACCTTCAACGAGATCCCATAATTGCTGACCATTGAGAACTTGTCCTTTGAAGGAAGGATACCCTAAACAACAATGTTACATGAAGATCATTTACTTGACTCAACCTTACGTTAGAACTAAGCACCATCCAGCCATGCATTTTTTGCAGAGCAACAAAATCGCACCATACATCGGGCCTCTGATTTCTGAGACGGTTGGAAGGAAGTTATGAAAAGCAGCTTGCCTGTATGGTTAGAGAATTGAACTGAATTGATTGGATCCACATCATAGCCGAGAAGCTGAAGAGGAAAAACAGCTGATTTGTTGCCAACATATCCCTGCGAAAAAAGGAAGGAAATGATGGCATTATAACCTTTGCTAAATCATGTAAAATGTTTCAGCATTCCATGCCAAGACATACTCAATACATCCAGAGTTTTAAAACAAGCTTTTGACAATAGCCTTTTGCCAAACTCCTCATGTAAAAACAAGCTTTGCCAACTGCTTAGTTACTTTTCTCCAAATTTTCCACTATCCCTTAATTTTTATCTCACACTTGACTCAAAATGGTGAGCTTGAAATCTGGCTAGCAAGCCTGAATAATGAGAGAGAATAAGATCAAAAAACAATACCAGCAGGAATAAGCACGAAGGAACGCGGAGTAACTTGAAATGATTGAGGAATATACAGAGAAAAACAGCAAGGCATAGATTTAAAAGATAAACAGAGAAATATCCATGATTGGAGCATTTAGCTACACGTTTACTGACTTCACATATGGCTTTTAACAGTAAATTGCAGACATCCCCTCCGAACCCACTGCCCCCCTCAAGCTAGAAAAGATGCCCACGACCCCAACCACCCAGTACAGAGCGACATCCTTTCAGTTCTATGTTTTTTTTAATTTATTTATTTATTTATTTTGGGTGGGGGAGTTGAATAGGAATAGTTAGCGATCATAAAGAAAACCATGAGCACTAAATGCTCCCTTAATTACCCTGATAAAGAAGTAGGAGGTATGGAAAGTCCAACATGGTAGTTGCCTAGAGGGCTTTTTGGCATCTTTTAAGTTGAAGCCTCAGAGGCAGCCATCAGTTGATTTGGAAGGGATACAGGTGTTGTAGTTCAAGATATAGGAATAACATAAGAAAGTACATATATTTGGTAAAAGTAAATAATTGGTGAAAGGTTGGATTTTTTATGATACTCAGAACATCGAAACCATCATTATTCGACGAGTTTAGCCAAAGGACGTAGTTAAGAGAGGACTACAGACAAAATAAGTTGGACAAGTAACTAGCTCGAAATCATACGTGCGATATGTAACTTAACTAATGAATTGTTTAAGTACACATTACACTAATGAATTGTTTATGACTTTACGTACATTGCAATATATCTTGTGATATACCAGATAGGAAAGATGGCAAACGTGTCATGACTCAACAAGTTTGGTCTGGAGTCGCACACGCAACGGTTGGAAAAGACCACAGACAAAATAAAGTTGGACAAGTAACAAACACAAAACTTAGGCCATTGCACACTCTAATAGCAAATTTGAAGAAAGTTGCGAACTTGATGGTTGAAAGTGCAAACATTTTCTTTATTCCAAATTCTGAGAAAACAAGGCAAAATTAATGCAATGAAATTTAAATTCCAAGGAAATTTTGGAGCGAAACTGCTCTATCAAAGTAACAATCGACTCAAGACTTCATTTGCTCTCTCGATTTTTCCCCTTCTTTTCCTGGTTACTAGCAAAAAAATGCTAAAATGAGAGATCCAAAATTACAAGCTGGCCTTGATTCTGAACTACTTTCCGGTAATTTTATGAATAGAGCAACAAAATTGCTTCTTTAATATCTAGAAGATCACAAAGCATCAACCGGACAGTAAAATCGAAGAAAAGAAGTGGAATTTTTTTATCAAAAAAAAATCTTGGAAGTAAATTACCTGAACTGTGTGAGATTGGATGCTGAGAACGCGGCCAGTTTCCGACGGGAGAGCCAGGGAGAGGATCGGTGGAGGCGCCATCGATGATCTACAGGGGGAGCCCTTGGACCTTAAAGGGAAAAAAAATTGCTTCAATCAGCTTTTAGAGATAGAGAGAGGGCTAAAGACAAAATATTTTGAGAATCAGGGACTTGAATTGAAGGGGAAAAAACTACCTGAAATTGTGGAGCTTGTAGAGGCGGGGGCGGCTGAGAGGCGTGGCTTTCATGCGGACGACAGAAAAAAAATTAGAGCAGGGTATAAAGGCCGAAAGTAGCAAGTTTACAATTATGCCCTTATTCTTTCTATTTTTCCATTTCCCGGCCCCACTCAGCGCTCACCACCCCCACCCCAACCCTTCCCTCCGAAAACGCATGTGCAGACGTACCATCTTTCTTATTTTTGATAAAATTTAGAGCCCTAAACAAACACGTTTTTTTGGACTAGGACGTATATCTTAAGTTATAGCTTGGATTAAGTGAGCTACAGCAATGCAGCTTAAGACCATCTCCAACCCCGCGTCATTTTGACGCAGAACGGCATTTTGACGCGCTGAGAAGTCTCCAACCGGGCGTCATTTTGAGCGCTATTTTAGCGGTGATGAACAGCGCGACGCCATATTTGGCGTCGCACTGTTCATCACCGCATTACTGTTCATTTTATTTTATTTTTTTAATTTTATTTTTTTAACCTTTATGTATTTACAATTTGATCTCGGTTGGTTTTATTAAATGTATAAAACAACTCTAATAATATTTAAATTTTATAATTTTACCCCAATTGTATAATTTGGACAAAATAAATTATTTTTTAAAACTAAAAATAATGCTAAAATTTAAAAGACATGATTATTAATTATAATACTAAAATCTAGATATTAAGTAAAGTCCCATGAAATATAAAGAGCAATCCTAATACATAATTCAAATATAAATTACATATCTGAAATACATAACATATAAAAACTGACACACATAATATAAAACTTCATTAAAATAAAACATAAAATACAAACTAAACATGGAACATTTTCTGAGATGGACAAGCAACTCTCAATAATCTGGTAGATCGGGGCCAGAGTGTCCAATATCATTGAAATAATTGCCAAAATTAGAAGCAGACCCTTGTTCTTGTTGATTTCTTTTTTGTATTATTTTAATCTGTTGAGCTCGAACGTACTCACGCACGTTTGGATCAGCAATGAAATTCAAATCTTTCATTATAATTTTCCATTCATCTCTATCTTTTTTCATGGCTATCTTTTCTCGTTCGATATCAAATGCTACTTGCCTGTCCAAGCTCGCCTTGTCTAACCTGTCTATAAGTCGGTTGCTGGAGGTCTCGATGGAGTCCACTACACTTGACTCATGATCATCATTTTTCCTTTTCAATTTAGCTTTTTTTACCCCAATAGGTCGTTCAGATGGAGTAAATGATGACAGTCCAGGAGATGTTGATATAGGAGATTCCAGAGTGGGATTATCTGATTGTGATGAGTCGAACTTCACACTTTGGGATTGTCTTCGACCAACTTGTCTTGCTGTGGGGACATCATCTTTGAATTTTTCAAAATTTTTAACCATATTCCAAACATGATCAAATTTGAAACCTTTTTTGTATTTTGGTTCTTGCATAAACAACATCTTTGCTCGAACTAACTGTAAATTATAGTGAACATCAAGTTATGTATTTCAACAATAATAATAAAATTCAAACGATAATTAATAGAATACTTACAATATCTTCATCTGAAGCACCACTTGGATTCAGATTCTCTACTTGTCTCAAGCACGCATTCAATTTCCTTACTTCATTACTTATGATTTCCATTCGAGAACGAATTGATCGGCTCGTACGCATCTCAAAATGCTGATCTCGAAGTTCATTGTATTTGTCCTCCACACGAGACCAAAATGCATCTCGAGACTGGTTTCTACCGATAATAGGGTCTTGAGAAATATCCAAGAATACTTGACAAAGGAGCACATCTTCAGTAACCGTGTATCCAGTTGATCGAACAGACATTTTTTTATAAAAAGCGGTAGGTTTGGAGATCAGAAATACTTTGAAGAAATACTTCGAATTGGGTGGCTTGAAGTAGAAACCGTGAATGTTATTTATAGCCAATCCAAATTTGTTTTTTTTGTTTGAATTTGAATTTGAATTTGAATTTGAATTTGCGGTTGGTTTGAATTTGTCGGTGGTCAACATTTGAAATTGAATCATTTTGTACAAACTGATCAGCTTTACACATTATCCAACGTTGTCGGTGGGAATCAATTTTTGAAATCAGGTCAGCTTAACACATTATCCAACGTATACACAGCTCAGCTTTCCTTGAATTGTGTGAAAGCTTTATACGAGTGGGAATCATTTTTGAAATCAGGTCAGCTTTACACATTGTCCAACGTATACACAGCTCAGCTCTCCTTGAATTGTGTGAAAGCTTTGTACGAGTGGGAATCAATTTTTGAAATCAGGTCAGCTTTATACATTGTCCAACGTATACAGCTAAAAGCAAATTTGAATTTTGTGACAAATTGATAACAGCTGGAAAGCATTTCCTAAAATCAGCTCAACTTTACACATTGTTCAATGTATACAGCTAAGCAAAGTTTTATAAATAGCATACTAGATTAGGTACATCCACACAATTACTCGTTGTTGTGTTAAAATTATTATTCTCCATTTCTGCATACTTCAGTCATTCTTTTCTTACTTCAAAAATGAATTTCGATGTTGGAGGTCCATCATACTTATCATCATCTTCATCTTCGGATGATGATAATTTTCTGTCCAATATCATTGCAGAGATTGATGAAACCGAAGAAGTAATTTGTGAGTACATCAACAACAACATGATCCTCGTTAACAATTTACGTCAACACAACTACCAACCGATCCATGGTGGCTCGATTCCCGGTCATGCAGTGATCAACCGCGATCGAGAAAATGCGCATCAGAATTTGGTCATAGATTACTTTGCCGATAATCCACGTTTTGGAGAAGATATGTTTCGTCGTCGATATCGGATGTCAAGAAGTTTGTTCCTTCGTATTGTTGATGCAGTGAAAGATCATGACTATTACTTCCAACAACGAAGTGATGGACTTGGTAGAATGGGATTATCACCGTTACAGAAAGTAACAGCTGTTTTTCGCATGTTGGCATACGGTCTACCAGCTGATGCTACGGACGAATACGTTAAAATAGGTGAGTCAACAGCAATTGAAAGTATGACAAAATTTTGTCGTGCTATGGTGGAAATATTCGCAGAGCGGTATCTACGAACACCTAACGCTAACGATATTGCTAGGCTACTCTATATTGGAAAAAAACGTGGTTTTCCAGGAATGTTAGGAAGTCTTGATTGTATGCATTGGAAATGGAAAAATTGTCCAACAGCATGGTCTGGGCAATACACAGGACGTAGTGGGTCACCAACTATTATCCTCGAAGCTGTGGCAGATTATGATCTTTGGATATGGCACGCATATTTTGGTATGCCAGGTACCAATAATGATATCAATGTGCTGGAGTCATCTAATCTTTTCTCTAACCTAGCTCAAGGTATTGCTCCTCCCGCTCACTATGTTATTCAAGGAAAAGAGTATAATATGGGTTATTATATTCAAGGAAAAGAGTATAATATGAGTTATTATTTAGCTGATGGTATATATCCGAAATGGGCTACTATTGTACAAACAATCCAACAGCCACAAGGTAGGAAGAAAAAATATTTTGCCATGAAACAGGAAGCATGTAGAAAAGATGTAGAACGTGCGTTCGGAGTTCTCCAATCACGATTTGCAATCGTGGCAGGATCAGCACGTTTTTGGAAAAAACATGTATTACATGACATAATGACTGCATGCATTATTATGCACAATATGATAATCGAGGATGAACGTGATCTTTATGCACCAATTCAAGAAGTGAGGGAAGCACCAACACCAGAAGTTGATATGGTAGCAGATGAAACTACAAGATTTACTCAATTTATTGCACGTTACGGAAAAATCAAGGATAAAGATGCCCATATTGCGTTTCGTAATGCATTGATAGATCATCTATGGGAGGAATACACTAATTCAGATAGTTAAGAGCATATTAAATTTGTGATGTTTACATTGTTGTTAATGTTTAATTATTTTCTTACATTTTATTTTCTGTTGTGTTCTTGAATGTAATATTTTGGCAATATTAATAATAGGTATATAATATTTTATTGTTTTATTAGTTTAATTTTTTAAATAATAAATCATTTGTTTTGGAAAATATGTGAAAAAATAAAATTTGATATGTGAGGTTAATTGTTGAAATAGTTAAAAATATAGGGAATAAAAAATAATCATATAAAAGTAGATAAAAAGAAAGATACTGAGAATATTCCTTTTTGGTGCAAAAAATGGTGCAATGGGTTGGAGATGAATTACTGTTAGATGTGACTTTTGCACCATTTTAGTGCAAAATTTGCACCATTTTGAGGCAAAGGGTTGGAGATGCCCTAATAATCTAATAAATGTAATATTGGCGGAAATCAAGTTAGGAGGTCACTACAGATTTGGTGACTGAGCTCCCTTGAGGCAGATATGGTTGATATTTAAATAATTGTTAGCAAACTACTGAGGCGACTCAATCCTCATCTTATAAAATACCTCTTTTCTCCCAAGAAGTTCGCTAAATTATATGTCAAAAAGGCTTTGTGGTTTTTTAAAGACATTAGTGACTATTATATCTAATAGAGATTCTAGATTTTGAAGAAGCTCTTTGGAAATAAAAAATGAGTTTCAGCACTAACACTATCTTGTCACATGCAAACAGATTGATAATTGCAGATGACTACATAAAATGATGGTGAACATGTTAGTGTAAAGTGTAGACCCAAAGTTGAGACGAGAGCTGGAATCAAAACGAAGAGGAAAACATGAGAAGACTTTCACGGTCGACCGCGACGGTCGACCGCGAACATGCACAAGGCTGAGAAGAGACTGGATCTAATCGCGGTCGACCGCTCAACTCTCTGTAATCTGTCAAGCTTCTGTCGTTTGATACGGTCGACCGCGACGCAGTCAAACAGTTTCCTAAACTGTTTTGGATTCTGTTTCTACCAGGACTCTATATATACCTTAAACGTTTTTAGGGTTTGTAAGACACGAAAAAAGAGAGCTTTTTAACTGTAGAAAGAGAGAGAATCTCAGAGAGATTAAACCCTAGTTTGAGAGCTTGTATTTTTTCTTCAATTAATAAAGAAATTGTGTGGTGTGGCTCCCGAGG